GCCCTGCCGAGATCGCCGCTACTTCCACCACCACGCTGTTGTGCTGCTGGATCTCCATCAACCTCTCCTTCCCCTTGCTGGATCAAGAAGGAGGAGACGTCTTCCCCAACCATACGTGTGTTGAACGCGGAGGTGCCGTCCGTTCGGCACTAGGATCTTCGGTGATTTTGATCACGACGAGTATGACTCCCTCAACCACGTTCTCTTGAACACTTCCGCTCACGATCTACAAGGGTATGTAGATGAACTCCTCTCTCTCGTTGCTAGATGACTCCATAGATTGATCTTGGTGAAGCGTAGAATTTTTTTATTTTCTGCAACGTTCCCCAACAGACGGTGCTATTTTGCGGCGTTTCCTTCTTGAAGGCATCACCAAGGAGAAGTTCAAGACAACTATCTACTACCCCGGGGGAAACCCTAGATCAGTAGATCGGATGATGGCGGCGCTCTTGTGTTGTTTCCCCCTTGGGGGCATCATTCTTGGGGTGTACACGAACTCGAGGGAACGTTGGTTGGTTTCTTGGGTGAGCGGTGCTTCATCTTAAACATTGATGGCGACCGATCTTGGCAGCGTGGTGCAGTGGAGACTTGGCGTCCGATGCTTGGAGATGGACTTGTGCAGGAGGAGGACGCTGTCTGACGTCATGGTGGCGTCGATGGCAGAGTGACCTGACAAGGTAGAAGTCTCAATATCTGCTCTGAAGACGGGCCTGTGGAATGATGGCGGCGACGACACATGTGAGTGCATCAGACCGGTTTGTGCCCCATACCCGGTATGTGGCTCGGCTGGGGCTTCCGACTTTTGATGATAGGCTTAGAGTGGTCTGGGTATTTGGCCCAGCTAACACTCCTTCATCATATGGATAGGAGTAGTGGCATGTTGCCAAATGGCGGTTTCAGACATATTGTTGCAATACTTTGTAAGGTCCTGATATAAAAGATTATAGCCAATTTCGATTCGATTGGTGGGAAGAGGGAGATAACACTACGGTACGCAGCCGCCACCTCGCCTAAGAAAAGCCTAGGGTTCATTTGCATCCCATCGACGTCACCGGCGGTCCGCCTCGTCACCGGTGGCCTTAGGGCCATGGCGGAGTGGTGGATCCTGGCCCTTTCCAATGGGAGGGGTCTGTTTTCAGATGTTCCTTTGAGTTTTGTTAAGGTTTGTGTCATGCTCAGATACACGGGTGTTCCACAATTTCTTCCAGCTCTTCTCATGATCATGGCTTGAGGAAGCTTCGGTTCGGCCCTCTAGTCAACTTTCCCTACAGCTCTTCGTTTCACAGATCATACGGTAAGCAGTCCTGATTGAGAACACTCCCCTCTTCTCATATCTCCAGGCCCAGAAGTCACGCTGCATCATATGCTATAATGGAATTGACTAAATAAGTTTGATGTCCATTGGCAAAAAATATTTGTCCAGAACCTTCATGTTCCACGTCCTCGTTGTTGGGCAAATCAACTCTCGAGGATATGATTTTAGTGGCACTGATTGGTCTCATGTTGAAATCCCGGGGTATCCAGTTGTCATCCCATACCCTTGTTGTGCTGTCGTCGCCTATTCTTCTAATCAAGCCTTGTTGGAGCATGTCTCTTCCTTCACACAAAGATCTCCGGATCTGTGCTGGATTGGCTCCCACTTGTGCAGAAAGAATGTCGGTCGTCGGGAAGTAAACCGACTTCAGGATCCTTGCACTCAATGAATCTGGCTCGACGAGGATGCACCACGCCTGCTTTGCCAGCAATGCAAGACTGAAAATCTCGAAATCCCTGAAGCCAATTCTTCCCTTATATTTATGCACCACCATACTCTCATCCCATGACACCCACATTGTCTTTCTTTCTCCCTTCTTCCTCCCCCAGCAAAACTTCATCACCATGGAGGTCAATTGCTCGAAAAGTCCTCAGGGGTAATTTGAACAATGCCATGGAATATGTTGGAATATCCTACACTACTGATTTGATCAGAAATTCTTTTCCTCCACTGGACAAAAACTTCTCCATCCACCCTGCAGCCGTTTCCAAACTCTATCATTCAATAAGCGAATGTCCCGTTCTTTGATCATCCCACATTGGTAGGCAGCCCTAAATAGTTATCCTTAAGAGATTCATTGTTTACCTCAAGATTTTGCTTGACATTCTCCCTTATAGCTGTTGGACAACCTTTCCCAAACAAAATTGATGACTTGTCGTTATTGATGTGGAGATTGTATGCTTCATTGTTTAATGTTTTACAAAATAAGAGGCAATCATCATCAAACAATAAGTGATTCACTTTGGGGGCTGTACTCTTAGGAGGAGATCCTATTCGACGCTTCAGGCGCCAGGAAAGCTCCCTAGCGCCCACGCGCCGGCGCAGGTGGTCGTCCCATGTACACGTTCACATTTGAGGGAAAAAGTGAAAAAAAGGGGAAAATTCGCCAAAAACCAAAAAAAATCTTGAATTAAAAAAACATGGATATCGAAAAAAAAATCATGAACTTGAAAAAAAACTTCATCGGATTGGGAAAAAGTTCATCGATTTTGCAGAACTTTCTGTAAAATTCATAGAATTTTTAGAAAGTTCGTCCAATTCTATAAAAAGAATCACAAATTAGAAAAGAAATCATCATTTAGAAAAACTTCCCCAATTTTGGAAAAAGTTCATGAATCTTAAGTAAAGAAAAAACCAAAAATAAAAAATAGCTAAACGGGTCGGCCCATCATGTAGGGCTTCAGGCGCTCGTTTTCAAAATGCACAGTAACAAACGCCTAAAGCGCCAAATCCAAAATCATAATTGAGGAGCACTCCTTCCAAAGATCACTATTACCCTCCCAAGTTGCGACAAGTGTCATGTTGCATGTGCGCCACTTGTTACAACCTGGGAATTTTCCTTTTTTTCGTAGATCTCTTTATTCAAAACGTTTTATCTCTTAAACCGTGCGTTCAATTTTCAAACCGTTTTCATTGTTGGATACCTCGCATCGAGATATTCAAAAATAGATTCCATGTTGATAGATTTTGACAAACTTTTCTTTTCATGAAAAAATAGACAAAAACCCGAACTGTGAGCACTTTTTTTCCTTTTGAAAGCCGTTTCCGAGAGGTCTCGTGAAAAAAAAACGCGTTTTTTTTTCTGAGGCACGACCATGCCTCTCGCGGAGGCAAAAACGTGCCTCAGACAGGAGACAAAAAAGAAAACACATTTTTTTCTCGTTTTCGAGAGGTACGATCACGCCTCTCGCGGAAGCAAAATCATACCTCTCATTAAAGGAAAAAAGAAAAGAAAACACATTTTTTTTTTGTTTCTGAGAGGCATGATCATGCCTCCCGCGGAATCAAAACCATTCCTCTCACGAAAAGGATTTTTTTTTCTTTTTCATGAAAAGCAAATTTGTACCTTTCGCAGAAACAAAAAATAAAAAATAGAACATAAAAAAATTGTCAATAAGTTAAGAAAGACCAGTGAAAAACCGAAAAGCAAAAAAATCAAAAGGAACATTTAAAAAGCCGAAAACATGTGAAAAAAATAATAATAAAATCAAAATTCAAAAGGAACGTCCAAAACGCGACATGTGACGACAGCTGAGTGACGCGCTCTCAGCCCATCTCAAACAATTCTTTGAAGAGGCTCCGGAAGGAAAGCTTCTCAATTGGCCAGCACTCTGCGCCGGCGCGCCGGCCGAATTTTCGGCCGGTCCGGCCGCAGCCGTTCGATCTGGCCCCAATAGCCGTCAGATCTGGCATCTTATCCTTCTTTGACTTCATCTTCAACCTCCGTTCCCCACAAGCCTCGGTCCCGCGCGCCTCCGTCCTCCTGCCCCACGAGCACCCGCATCCTCTCCCTGTCGTCGCCGCTCGTCGCAGCACCCAACGCCCTCTCCCCTCGCCGTTCGCCGCTCTTCGCTGTCGACGCTCGTGCGTGCACAGCCTCTCCCCCCTCGGTTGAAGCTTTTTTAAACTCTGGTTGAAGCTTTTTTCGCTTCGGTTGAAACTTTTTTCATGGTTTGAAGCTTTTTTTCACATCGATTGAAGCTTTTTCTATAGTTTGGAGCTTCCTCATTTGCCGGTTGAAGCTTTTCCACACACCAGTTGAAGCTTTTTTTGTTATTGAAGCTTTTTTCCACATCCATTGAAGCTTTTTTTTCATGGGGTTGAAGCTTTCTTCCATGCCGGTTGTAGCATTTTGCAGTATGTTTGTAGCAAAACATGATGCTGATTTTAGCAAAAATCAAAATATCGTTGTGCGATGTAGCAAACCGCGATGCCGGTTGCACCCGGATTGGATGCCGGTAGTAGCAAATTGCAACGCCGGTTGTAGCATGTAGCAAAAATCCCGCGATCCTATCCTCGCCGCCCGTGGTCACCATGCTTGCCGCCTGCGGTCAGCCTCGGCTGTAGCAAAAAAGAAAGGCAGAAGTAGCAAAAAGCGAAGTCGGTTGTAGCAAAAAGCATGTTGCTGGTCTTCGCCCGGCTGGAGCAAAAACAAGGTCGCCGGCGTCGAGGGGCGCAGCTCCGACGTGAATGGATGTAGCAGCCATCTGGGGGGAGGCGGCGGCATGAGGTTGGAGGCTACCAGGAGTAGCCATGGACATGTGCTCTCGTTGGGAAAGAAGAGAAGATGAGGGGATTGCGTTCAAGTGCGGAGGAAACGAGTGGAGGAGAGAGACGCTGAGAAGATAAGGTGTCGTGGGTGGGACCATAAAGCGCGTGATACGGCTCTGCCCGTTCTAATACAGATCGATCCAACGTCCCGCGTCAGACCGGCGCTAACTTCGGCCGGTGCACCGACGTAAAACGTTTCCCTTCTCAATTCGTTGCTCTCCGCCGTGCTCTCTCAATCTGAATCCCTTCAATTTCCCTTTTTTTGCACAGCCTCACAGACAGGGGTCACGCCCCAACAGAAGAATGCTTATGCGCACACACACCGTCGCGGCGGATAGAGTTTTCCTTCCAGAGGCGGAAGCCGCGCCACGGCCACGGCGAGGCACCCACCACCGTCCACCCACCGCAGCGCGCCATGCTCTCCCTCCTCCCGCCCGCGCGGCTTCGCGCCGCGCCCTCCGACGCCTCCGTCACCTCGCCGCGCCGCCCGGCCGTCATCCTCCCAGTTAATCACCGCCCCCTCCCTCTTCGCTCCTTTTCTTCTCAGTTGTCAGCGCGTGTGTGTGACGCCCGGCGGTCTGTCGTAGTGGCGCGCAGGGGCTCGGGAACAACACGGGCGACTACGCGCGGCTGGCCGCGGCGCTGCGGAACGGCCACGGCGTGCCGTCCGTCGTCGCGCGGGTCTCGCGCCCCGACTGGCTCCGCAACGCCGCCGGGCTCGCCGACCCCAGCTACTGGCGGGGCACCCTCCGCCCGCGCTCCGTCCTCGACTGGTAAAATGCAGCCGCCTCCCCGAATGCGTACGTGGTTGATTTTGTGACTTGAGGCGTTCGTTTCACCCAACACCTTGCCTGCACTGCACCGCAGGTACCTGAAACGAGTGGAGGAAGCGGTGTCCGAGGCCAGGGAGCTATCCTCTCCAGGTCCGTCTCCCGAATCATGGTGCAATTTCGCAATTTCGATCACTGACGAGTGCCCCGCGATTGAAGCTCTAGCAGTCTTACTGCTTTTGTGCCATTGAACAGCTTGTGCTTGGTTTCAGTTGCCATGAAAAAGAAAATCTTGCTTCCAGTTCACCATCTAAAATTCGTTTGTTTCTTCCAGTTTGAATTTCCTTCTGTTGCTGCTAATTTCAGCCTTGTGACTGATTCAGATTGTGGGGTGTATTCTCAATTGTCCATGATATTGAAGGCAGAAAAATGTGCAGAAAACCATGGAATAAAATGATCCATGTTCTAAAAGTGAGGGCATTCATCCTGACTCTGAACTGTTTGATGCTTGCAGATGGGAAGCTATCATTGATAGGGCATTCAGCTGGGGGCTGGCTCGCGCGCGTGTACATGGAGGAATTGGGGACTTCTGACATAAGTTTGCTGCTCACGCTTGGCACTCCCCACCTGTACGGTTTCCTATCTGACCATTGTTTGAACTCATGAATATATTACCTGTTTTTTCATTCTACTCGCAGTTGGAGTAACGCAGGCTTAGTGGCTTGTATTCTTAGTTTGGCAAGTTCTTGTAGAAAGTTATGGGCCTCTTAAATTTCTGGTATAAATGATGAAATGGAGGAAATTAGATTTGGCACCTATTGTTACATTCTCGTTCTGTTTTTCCTCCTAGAACATTCAAGTTTATGTTGTCCCAGCTTACAACAATGTAGATATACTTGTTACCTTCACAATACACTCCAGACTTGTGTGTGGATTTCAGTTCTTTTATGTTTAGAGGATATGATTAGGCCTTGTTTGGGAAGGTGAGAAATGTTACCCTGTTTCCTTTGAATGTGAAAATATTTTACTTAAATTTCTATCCACCAAAGGAATTGAGCTTAATACGTAGCCATCCAAACAAAAACAAGCCCTGTAAAAATCTCCCAATTATTATACATTTTTACATGTGGTTTGATACATAGAAGTCATGCACTACATGTTTATTCCTGCAAGCTTTACTATTTTAACTTGATAGCAGGTGGAATTGTAGTGTCAAAATGAAACCCGGAACATACTTTTCTTTTATCTGAATTTCTTTTTTTTTCTATAATTCCTAGGCCACCTCCCAAAGGTGTTTCTGGCGTAATTGACCAAACTAGAGGACTACTGAACTACGTCGAGAAGAATTGTGCCCCTGCAGTTTACACACCAGAACTACGATATGTATGCATTGCTGGAAGGTACCTTACTTTATAGTTCAGGTTTTGATTAATTGATTATATGTTAATCATATCATAGAATTAAGGCTTATGCATTACATTTCATCTCCTTAACCAAGACTGGTGAAACCATTTCATCATGAATGTGATGTATTATTATACAAGTTTTGCAACGCAAAGTGCCAAGGCATCAAATATTTAACGACTTATTTTCTTGGCGTTGAAAATATGTAATACTGTTGATGTCGCTCTTGCCAGACTTGAACATAGATGGTGCTTATCATCCTGGGTTGGCAAAAATTACAAACATTCTCCCTGAAAATGTAGTCCTGTAGAACACGCACTTGCTCTTATTTTGAATTCTTGATGGAACAGTTTCTGCTAGATGGACGAATGAACGCAAATTTTATAGCCTTCCTTCTTGACAGGTACATTCAGGGTGCTCCTTTAACTGGAAACTCAATTGCTACTACTACTACAGATGAGCTTGTCACAGTAGACACCCCATCAGAAGTAGCTGAAGCAGTCATGGTCAGTGCCGACAACAAATCCGCTCCAACAGGCCCCACCTTCCGGGCCCGTTTCGTCGGACAAGGCTACAAACAGGTGACCACTGAAACCCAAGCAATACCACGCTGTGAAATATTCCAAAATTTGATTTCTGAACAGAAACCACTGAAACAATACCGTAAATCCCACACTAGGTTTGCGGCAGCGCCGAAGTCTGGGGAGATGGGGTCGTCCCCGAAGTGTCAGCGCATCTAGAGGGCGCACTGAATATAAGCTTCGACGGCGTGTACCATTCTCCTGTAGGTTCTGATGATGAAGAGAGGCCTTGGTACGGCTCACCGGCGATCCTAGAGCAATGGGTGCACCATCTCCTCAGTTGATGCCACAGAAGCTTGACCAATTCCAAAAATTTGTGAACAAAATGGTGTATTACCAAGCCCTTTTCACTAGTACAAATAGCACGGGATAGCAATATACAGTAATTGTGTCTGAATGTCTCAGGTCAGGCGCCGCCGTTCCTTGTACCCTTTATGTTAGAAGGGAGAGAGGAGGATTGGTGGAATAGTTGTTGTATTGTTTGAGCCTCATGGGCATATATATAGGAGTACATGATCTACTTGGAGTACAAGGCAAGCCAGAATATTTCCTAGTCTAACCTATGTTTCCTAATACAATCACGTTACTCAACATCCCCCGCAGTCACAACGGTAGCGACGCAGACGGTGAGACTGGAGAAGAATCCGAAGGCAAGCTGACGGACACCCCCCCGCAGTCGTAACAGTCAACGCATCGCGGAGTCGTGGCTGGAGTGGAAACCAATGAGGTTTCTCAAGCAGGCGGTAGCCCTTTGTGCCGTTTGTCGATGTAGCCGAGAGCGTGGGTGGTGGAGCCGTGGTCGAGGTAGCCGTGCGAAGAATGCCGTGGTCGATGTCGAGTCGGGGTAGCCGGTGTCGAGGAAGTCGCCGTGGAGCCGTGGGCGCAAGGAGGCGCCGAGTTAGTCGTGGGCGCAGTGGTGTCGAAGTAGTGGTGCGCCAGGAAGTAGATGATGTTGACGACGCGTCGCGCCGGGGTTGCCAACCCCGGGGACACATCGTAGACGAAGGCAGGCGTCGGTGTTACCAGCACCGGGCATGCGTAGACGGACGAAGACGAAGTTGATGAAGCGCCGCACTAGGCTTGCCAGGCCCGGGGACACGTCATGGACGAAGGCACGCATCGGTGTTGCCAGCACCGGGCATGCGTAGACAAGGACCTGCACGAGCTGTACGCCATGTCGGAGAAGTCGTAGAGGCCAGCAGAGAAGGACTCGACGACGGTTGCGGCGCCAATCAGCGCGGGGCCGATGTCGCCCGCGGTTGTCGGAGTAGATGAAGTGGTCGGTGTAGATGACGGCGACGCTGGCGATGGGCTGGTGCTGGACGAAGACGAAGGGGGTGGACGGGCGGCTGCGGCGGCTACAGGGGTAGCGGCGGCGGCTACAAAAGAAGAGCGGCAGCGGCGGCCTGACGGCGGCGGTGGCGGCTAGGTTAGGAGCGCGGCGGCGGTGCTCGAAGTAGGCGAAGAACCCGACAGCGTGACGAAGACCGGCGCGGACGGTGGCGTACCCGCGCCAAAGGAGGTGGTGCATCGGATGCCACAGGAAGTCGACGCGCGGGGACGGTGGTGGACCGCGGGCCGCGGCACTACGGCCCGAAGGGGCGACGCAGTGGCGGCGGGCAGTTCGGGGTGACGATGGAAGACCTCGGTACGGTCGCTGGGATCGCGGGCCGCGGTGCTACAGCCCGAAGGGGTGGCACAGCGGCGGAGCGCGGGGTGGTGCAACCGCGTGGACGGCCTCGAGACGGCGGCGTGGACCGCGTGCCACGCTCACTACGGCCCGATGGGGCGACGCAGCGGCGGCGCGAGGGTCGGTGCAGCCACGGGGAAGGCCTGGAGCGGACGGCCTCGGGGCGACGGTAGACCGCGGGCCGCGGCACTACGGCCCGAAGGGGCGACGCAGCGGTGACGCGGGTCGGTGCAGCCGGGAGAAGAACCACGGGGTGGCGGCGCTGCGGCCCGACGGGGCGACGCAGCGGCAGCCCGTTGCTCGATCGGCAGAGGGGCGCGCTGAACTCGGAGATGATCTTCATGGGACCTGCGGAGGCGCGCGTAACTGACGGGCCAGGTCGGTCGCGCGGCGTAGATGAGGCGGATCGCGGCGGCGAGCGGGTGATCAAGCCGATCGCGCGCGAGGTCGGGGACGCCGCTCGGTGGAGGCGTGGTGGCGACGGAGTCCGAGATGAAGCCGGCGGCGGCGGGCGGCAGGGCGGCTATGATTTGCCGCCGCATGGCGCGAGGCCGCCGGGTCGGGGTGATGCAGGAGTCCCGGTCGGAGCAGGGCGGTGACGGCCGGCGTAGATCGACGGGCGGGCCGGCACGCGGACGACGGCCTTGAGGGCTGCCTGTCACGCGAGGCCGCCGGGTCGGTGAAGTAGCCGGCCGGTTGCGCCGATGTCGGAGTAGAGGCGCGAGGTGTCGACGGCGGCGGTGGGCGACGCAAACCGATCAAGAAAAGATCGGAAAACCAAAAAGTAGACGCCGATCAAAACGACCGGCGAGAGAGAAAACCTCGGATCAAAGGATCGGGAAAAAGACTCTCTAGGGCAGCCGGCCAACACGGCCGGCGGACGAACCCTAGGTACGGGTGGCGCGGCCCCCGGCGGCGGTCATGGAGGCCGACCGCCCCGGGGGCGGCGCGCAAGTGCGGAAGCGGCGGCGGCTAGGGTTTAGGATCGACTTGCGATAGATACCATGTTAGAAGGGAGAGAGGAGGATTGGTGGAATAGTTGTTGTATTGTTTGAGCCTCATGGGCATATATATAGGAGTACATGATCTACTTGGAGTACAAGGCAAGCCAGAATATTTCCTAGTCTAACCTATGTTTCCTAATACAATCACGTTACTCAACACTTTATTCAGATCTATCTATATGAACTCGCCGATTCTCAAAAGGGAAAAAAAAAGATGAAGCAGCTTAAACTGTTGTGTTTTCCTTTCCTTTTTGCCAAATTGGAGTACAATGTATAAAGTTGCTCAGTGTTCAAGCCAATTCAATGTGTATGAAATTTGCACGCCACAAACATCTTTTCAAAGAGATTTACCATCATGTGACAGGCAGAAGGAAAAACAATCAGAGGTTGGCTGACCTATTGCTCCAGCCAGTACATAATATTAATAGGCAAGCACAAACAATGATGCACGCAAGTAACCCACCCATGACGCTTGCAGCAAACCGAGCTGAACTTTTCAGAATGACACGCATTTGACCACAATCAGCTTATCACAAATTCACAATCCACTGCAACCAAGAGACCAGCATGATATACACAACAAGGGCAAAGTGGAATTAACAGACTAAAAACACCGAGCCACATCAACGTGCATGTGCATGTGGGTGCCCTCTCAGGATGGCAGGAGCTACGAACCACAAAACACAGGGAATCCTTCTTACATGCATCACCGAGCCCCCAACCCTTAAATGGCGACCAAAGTCTGAAGTCTGAACTCCATATTAACTTAACTACCTAGAAGAACCTTGACTTGGACAGGGATCGAAAAAGAAGCCTTCCATTCCAACGCTAGCCCTGGGCAGAAAGCACCAGCGTTGGCCCCCCACTCGACAGCCTTAGATAGTCTTCACGAAATGAGGGGACAAGAGCTTGGTGACCTCCATCATATGAACCGTGTCCCTCCCAGGGAAGATGGTTTTGAGCTTCTCGTCGCAGATGATCTCCCTCTTGTTCAGTGGGTTCTGCAAATCATGTAGAGGGAGTTTGTATTACAGGATCACAGATGGCAAACTAGTAAAGCAGTCAATTCAATTTTTACCTAATCAGTCCACAGATTGTGCAACATCAGTAATGATTGAGCTAGCTAGTAAAAGAACTCAAAATATCATATCTAATATACAAATTACAACTTCATCTTTATGAATTCGCAAGTTGCCAGTGGAGACTGCAGAGTAGATTTCAAACGGAAACCACTAACTGTTTCTCATAAAGAAAACTATACATCATATAGGTCCAACGATGCAATTAAAAAGGTGCAATCAACAAACCACACATTTATCAAACAACTGTCAATTATACATAAATTCCTGCAGATAGATGGCAAGCTAGTAAAATGGTCAATTGCATTTGTTATCTAGTTAGCCAATAGATTATGCAACATCAGTATAACTTGGCTAAAAGCATATCTAATACTGTACAAATTACAACGTTATGGCTTATAAATTTGCAAGTGCAGAGTGGACTTCAATTGAAACTACTATTAACTAATTTTGATACAGCAAACTAGATCACATAGATTTAATCATGTGAATTAAAAATGTGCAATTAATAACACAGACATTTTATCAAAGTATCAAACAACTCTCAATTATACATAAATTCCTCCAAACACACAGAAATTCTTGCCTCACCAGAGAGGACAATAGTGAACAGAAAGATTAGGGCCTAACACCAGTGTTTAACAAGTATTGTTGATGATGTGCTTGATAGACACCAAGCAACACATATCCAGAAAGAACCGAGACTGAACATGAAAATTTGAACAGAAAGTGGCCTGCTCATTAGTATTAGAGCTATGCAACCACATCAGCACATAATTAAAATGCTAGTAGGTCACTCTACCCAGTGAGATTAATACACTACTCCCTCCGTTCCTAAATATAAGTCTTTTTAGACATTTCAATATGGACTATATACGGATGTAGTCCATATTGAAATATCTAAAAAGACTTGTATTTAGGAACAGAAGGAGTATCTATCTAAGACAGGGAAATGAGGAATGAACTACAGAGGTTTCCCCCTACAATAATCTTGCAACACAAACAAATGAAAGGTGCTTTATCTTAAGCAGAACCCACAAATTATCAGGGTTGAACCGAACTGATATTTAGACTCACTTGGATGAAACTTTTGTCGAACTTAATGTGCCAATTACTGTTATGTCCAAAGACAACAATACAGCAGTAAATCCCTGAACAGCTCAAAAAAACTACACTCAAAGCCACCATTGGGGACCCCCCCCCCCCACCCACCCACCCCCAACATGGACCCAGGCAATACAATAAGTACTGGCTGGTAAGTCCAAACAATCTATAACCAAATCGACCAAAATGATGTTCAATTCTTTAAAATCCCCACCCGACGAACACACCGCAATACAGTTGAGGCCGCACAAATAGAATCAACGAACAGCTAGGGCTCCGTCCACGGGTACTACCTGGAGGTCGTTGGCCTTGATGTAGTCCCAGACGATCTTGAGGACGCCGGAGCGGGAGATGTGAGCGGCGCCGCCGAACTTGCGCAGGGCATCCGAGACCGGCACCGGCCTCAT